GAAGAAGAATGAAGAAGAAGAAGAAGAATGAAGAAGAAGAAGAAGAAGAAGAATGAAGAAGAAGAAGAAGAAGAAGAAGAAGAATGAAGAAGGAGAAGAATGCAGAATAAGAATAATGAAGAAGAATGAAGAAGAATGAAGAAAGAAGTGGATGACATTCAACACAAGTTGCAATACAAATAGAACAGATCCCTTCCTTTGAATGTCGCACAGCCGGATCGAATGTGACTGTTGAGACCTCCGAGTTCCCAATCGAAGTTCGTTGAGTCCCTCCAGTGCTTCACCACAGGCTCAACACAGCCAAAGCTTCCGCCCCTGCACCAGGTGAGGTTTTTCAACATCTTCCACCCTTTGGATCCAGTGGCCTACCGCATGGAGCCGCTCCTCTGGCCCCATGGGCCGTGCCCTCCCGCGCCGGCCCAGCTGAACGACCGCGACGCGTGTCACGCGCAGCGAGTGGACTGGGCGCTGCCGCTGGCGGCGCTGAGCAGCGCCTCGGAGCTGCTGCAGGCGGTGTACACGTAGGAAAACGCGAGACCCCTGCAGTAATAAATGCACGGGATAGATCGGGATATATAGGCAATTAATTATACAATGGTATTAAATGTATATATATATGTCTGTGTTAGTATATATTTATATAAAATCAAATAGATAGATTATATTAATACTAAGCAAAGTTATGCTGGAGGATGCAGGGGCTCTCAACTGGAATCATGATGTACAGTTTGTAACTGTGGAGTGGGTTAGTGGGCTGGGTGGAATATTTTTAGCACAAAAACATTTTGTTGAGGGAACTATTTGCCCAAGGTGCACTGGGTGTGCTTGCCCCAAAAATTGAAGCTGGCTGGGTTTGCTCCTGAACCCAAATTCCAGGCAGTGCCAAGCCACATCAGCTACTACAAGACTCTCGGGACAACGGCATTATGGCGAGGATTCAGTGAAACGGGGTCTGGTCAAGTCTGGCAATCTCTCCCCACTTTGGGGAGCAGGTGAGAAGCAATATGTAGTAATCGTGCAATCATTCTCTCAAATGACCACCGTAAAAGGTCTACAGGGTGTTGGTTCTGAAGCACCACCTGAATCATTTGGATGGCCCCTGAAAACCCATTGATTCAGGGGGAGAGGGGTCTCCCCATCACCCTGATGGTCGGTGAACAGAGGCCAATCGAGTTCAGGCGACACTAAGCCAAAGTGCTCAACTACATGTTGCTTGTGTGTGTGGGGGGGGACGATGGTGGGTGGCAAGACATAGGAACATTGCATGCTGTATTGGTGTTTCACAGGCGGTTGGCATAATAGTATATAGAGAAACGTTGGACGCAACAAAATGGGGGGTTCTGAAGGTTCTTAATCCTTTGGTGACATCAGTATCAGTCACAAGTTGGTCAGGTGGTTTCAGCTGAGCTGATTCCTTTTTCGGCCTTTCCCGGGCGGAAGAAGCAAAGAAGAAACTCGACATGTGCCACGAAGACGAATATAGATCTTTTGCATCAACCTTTATTATTTTCCGTTCTTATGTTGCTACTGGTGCTGTGGGCATAGAGCGGCGGCGATCACAGCCAGTTTGGGAAAAGCCACGCCTAACAGGGCGCCCTCTCATCCCTAGTGACCCTAGTGAGCAAAACATTTTGCAACCTCTCCCAGAACTGGATAAGACTCTTCTTGAAGCTGCTCAGCTTCTGGAAGTTGGACAATTTGAGGCGAGCAGAGGCCCCCTCGGCACTGGGAGAGCCAATTTGCAAGACCTTACAAATCCACCCCCTAAACAAACACAGAAGGCTTCCTTGTAAGCGACCAGGGTGGTCTCCAAAACCGCTCTCCTTTGGGTGGGCACCGAGGAATCCTGACCTTGGCACCTTCATCCTCCGGCAGTGCATTCGATCTCCAGCCTCCACAGCACAGGTGGCGACCGCGGCGCGGAGGCTCACAGCCAGCGGCCCGAGGACGAAAAAGGAAGCGAAGACGACGTCGAGCTCTTGGCGTGGATCTTGGTGGAGGGGAACGGTAATGAGGGGAACCGCAGTCGTCTTGCCGGATGGAATCTGCCATAGAATGCCTCAGAGTCATTCTGAGTGATTTAGCAGGTCTCACTACGTCCGCGCTTCAAGCCCTGGTGGGTTTCTCGAGGATAGCTCGAATCCAGCTTGATGCTAGGCGCGCACTGGCCTGAGAGAGATCAATGAGGCGGATCTGCAGCTTCTGGGCTGCAGATGTGTGGCTGGAATGGTCAACTCCCCACCTAGACCATGCAAAACCGACGTGCACATCCAAGAAGACACACCACGACACGTGGATGAAGGCTGTTGCAAGGAGCAGCCTGATTAATCCGGTCCACCTAATAAAAAACACGTACCCCCCCCCCCTAATAAGGAAACCTCGGTCGCATTTTTTCTAATAGGGGGTCCCTGAAATCGGGGGCCCAAAATAGGGTCACCTGGAAAGAGTTTCAAAACCAAAAAGTAATCCAGGAAAATTTTATATAAAATCCTTTATTAAACTATATCAAAAATCCAAAAAACCGCCAGATCGAAGGGTCTTCCTTTCCCCTACAAAAACCTTCATTAGAATAGTGATTCTTCAGTAGACTAACAGCTAAAGCTTTCGAAAGGTGATGTCGCTGTGCCATGCGGTGTTGCATGACCTCGGTGGCAAGTGCGTTTGCGTGAGTCCGTGCCATTGAGGGAAGGAAAGCCTGCTGGTGTAAGCGCGGCGTGTCATGGTGGAGTTTTGGGGAACCTTAAAAAAAAACTACCCCCAAAATCGACCATGTTGGTAGTTTAGTAGCGGTTTGAAAGGGCGGCAATTTAAAACCAAATATAAACCGAATTTAGGGGATTCGGCATGACTTTTTTAAACTGGGGTCCGCTTTTTAATAGGTACTCGGGATTAACTACCCACTTGGCCAGCTCTTTCAACAGACCTGCTTGGTGGTTCTCCCCAGTGCCACTTAGTACTGTGAGTACTTAGGACTTGGGGGCTTGTCTTACATCCCACTTACTGTATATTGCTGGGTTCATCCCCTAATCTAGCCAGGGCTATCAAGCATTTACGACCTGGAGGAGCTTTGAGAGTTGGTTTTTGCATGCTGCCAGCCCCAGGTTCTATCGCTTGGCCGTGAAGCAGGCAGAGTCGCTCTATGACATTATGGCGTCCCAGCCTTGGCGGACACAGTCCTTCGACGCGGACATGGAGGGACTGCCGGACTTGAGTTCGGACTTGAGTTCGCTTCCCACTTGCACCGGCAGAACAGTCCAGAAGAATCCATACAGGCACATGCACGTCACATAACACACGCACAGAATATGCACAGATATATGATACTTTTATGATATTTATAGATATATGTACACACTTGCACATACACACACAGGCCGCGTCTCCTACTTTAAGACACACCACCCTTGGGAGGAACTTGCCGTTTTCCTGGCAAACATGCCAAGACTGCCTTAGGCAATTTTGTTTACTGCAGGAAAGGTTCTTGAGTTCTTGGGCTTGGCTTGGACTTGAGCTTGGCTGCATGCTTCTTCACCCCGTGATGCAGACTGTTAGCAGGAGTAGAGTGGCTCAATCACAAGTTTGCGCGCACTCCAGCCTTCTGCAATCACGAGTTTATCATTATCTGAGCCCACCTGATATCTCCACAACCTTGTCACGCTAGGCGACTTCTGCACACAACCTTGTCACGCTAGGCAAGCAAGTCTTCCAGATGCCTTGCACCGCGGCATTTTATTAACTGTGGATGGCAGGAGGCAGCTTACCAACTTGCATCAGCATCACCCCATGCATCACGGGGTGAAGAAGCATGGGCAATGGATAGCATCTTACCAACTTCCCAGATGCGCTCAGCCTCCCTCCGGCTGGCCATGCCGCGTGCCTCGGCCATCTTTGTGCCAGCATCGGCCCAGGTGGGACACCAAAACGACCAGCGTGAGAGAAGCATACGTATCATCGCTGAGTTAGAAGCATGCGAATGTAACCATTCAGTGGTACTGCATTCATTGGCCCATGTTGCCCAATCAGACAAGGAATCGCACTCACCTCAGCCACAAGAAGTGCAGTTGCATGGCAGTTTGCATGCATGGCAGGCTGCACATGACAGGCCGCTCTCTCACAAACATGGCGGTTTTGCAGCTGCATGGCAGGCTTCCGGCCACAGCAGTGCGCCACTGGCCAGCCGGGGCCCTTGGGCCGCCACAGCAGGTGCACACCTGTGGAGGGTGTAGGTGTGAGATAGGAGCATGACTGAAGTGCAATATATATATATATATTTATAACACTTACAGTATTATCCTCTTGCAGCATGGGCATGCATGAGCATTTCATATTGCCACATTTTGCCAAACATATGTAGCAAAGACAGGAAGCCAATGATTTCTACCAACGTTCCGGGTCAGTTTTAAAAATGGATCACGCTAGCATAATTTGAAAGATGTTCTTTCCTTACGCATGCCAGTGTGGGCTCCAAACTTCGCTGCGTCTTGGGGTTCTTGGAGTGATCCACCAGCAAGAAATCCTTGGAATAACTTTGACATGATAGATGAGCAGCCCCCGCTAGAGCCTTGGACATGGTTGATTAACTGGAACATCAGACAGGATTCGAGAAAATACTACGGCGCTTTGTTGCATTGTGCGGTGTAGACGAACAGCCAGTGCACGGGCCCTTTTCACCCTCGTTCTTGGTTACCCAATCGACTCACCCGTCAACGACAAATCAGTACAATCTGCAGAGGTTTTCGAGAGGGAAATGCTTCCCTTCTCAGGTCGCAGGTTTGAGGACTGGCCAATTCACATCAATTCAACCAGCTGCATGGAAGACATGTTTCTTTTTGGGGTGGGGGCCGCGTTGCCCAACATGGCTTGGCGGATGGCAACGGCCAAGCGCCGTGTCTCCGCCGACCCACCGCCGACGAACCGCCAGGTGTAGCGGGCGCACTGGGTGTAGCGGGCGTGGCCGGCCGATCCACAAGCTCCAAGGCTGAGGTGGCAGGCACGGGTTGATAGGGATTTGAAACTGAATATGAGGAAGAGGAGGAGGTCCAGGATACGAAGTTCCAGAGAGGTGCAGTTGTACCTGCAATATATAAATGTATGATTTGTTTGAGATAATCTGAGATATGAGAATATGCCTCTTTCCACTTCGTGGGTTTTTGAAGGCCAAGTCCCATGAAAGCACCCGAATCTTGGGCAGGACATGTGTCCTCCGGGGCTGGTGAGCTGGCCGGGCTGCCTTTCCTCTATGGCACAGCGTGGAAAGAAGGTCAAACTGCCGAGCTGGTCGTGAAGGCGGTGAGGCGGCGAAGAACAGCGGCCGGTGGTGTGGAGGGAGAGAGAGGACGAGACTGGGTGGTGGTTTCAGATTTAAACCTTTCCTTGAATTTATTGAACAAAGTGCAATTGAAGTTGTTTTTTAGAGGACCTTGTGATTCCTCTTACCTGCCCCAGGTCACCCTGCATGATGTAGAAATACTTAAAATACTTACATAAGAAAAATACCCGCCTGCCAGCCGTCCGGAGCCAGGGCGGGCTTCCGCGGTATCGACACTGCATGCCAGCCGAAGCACTACCAAGAAGACTTGGTGGGCGAAGCCTTAGCACGTTTGGCGAGCGCCCCTCGACCGCCCTTTTTCCCGGTGGTTGGTGGGCGCGGCCTCCGACGTTACGGTTTTTGGGAGCCCCGTGTTTCATATGGGCCGTGTCAAGGGTCTTAGAGTGTCTATGAGTGTCTCAGCGCCGAGGGGCCATCCTTGTAGCGGATGGGTCAACCACCAGACACATCACTTGGTTTCATTTGGTTTTTGTCTCATTTGGTTTCAGAGATGGCTGGCAGCGAAAGTGCACAGGTGGCTGGCTGAGGCTGCCCTGGTCTGACACGGGATTGGAAGGATTCAGTTGAGGGGTGTGACCTTGGTGTGCAAGTTGACGTCACCCTGGAGACTTCCCAGTCAAGGGCATATGACACAGTTACAAGTTGTTCTCACTGGGTAGTGGTAGCAATTGCTCAGTGTGTGTAGCGGTAGCAACCGCTCAGTGTGCGTGGTCTTGAAAAACAAGTCGTTCTGAGGAAGACCACTTGCCCAGGGAGCAACTCTGGCTCCAGACCAAGTTCACGCCCATCCGTGGACAAGATCCGCGAAGGGTGCCCTATGACACGCAGGCACCGTGCCCGATGCACCCGGGAGTTGCATTCCACGGAGTCCCCTTGAAGTCATATATGTTCGTGTCATACAATATTTACAACAATAAATATATAATACTATATAACAAAAATAGATAATAATTAATTACTAGTGTAACTATGCAACTATATACAGTATTATGTACAATGTGTGTGTGTGTGTCCACCCCTGGGCAAAGGGTTTTCCACCGCCACTTCCTTCACCGGTTTTCCACAAACTTTCACTCGCAGGGGGACCAGGCATCTCGCTGCTAACCTGGTCTAACAAAGCTAGGCAGCGAGATGGGAAGCACTGAGAGACGTCTCGGTGTGTACCTGCGACCAACTTTTGCAAAAGCTGTCCAATCCGATCGGTTTGATTCATGGTGGTTGCATGTTTCCTCCCACAAACAGGTTTTCCACCACCCTTCTCAGCCGCTCGTGAGCTGCAGCCGACCGCGCGAGAGTTTGCCACTGCAGTCATGCACAAACCAACTGTTCAACCTTCAAGTGAACTGACTTTCTCGCCATACCGTTCCCTCACCATTTTTGACCTGGGAACTGAGTATAACTGAATACAATTGTCGAAGTGTGTTTCGCTCAGCCGTCCCACTCGGGTGCTGAGTGTGATCCCCGTCATTGGGGCGCTGTCTCATCGTGCAAGCACTAACTGACCTCACCACTTTTCACAGGAATTCCACTGGAAGTCACCGACACAACCACTGAATTAACTGCCACAACGGCCGCCGGGCCTCACCACGGGAATTGCTATTCCGACAGAATCTGTAGCTTTCTGCAGTTTTGCATTTTTGCATGACTTTTCCGCATGAAGAGCTCAAGCTAGCTGACCTGAGCTTCCAAATTTAATTCGATATGCATGAACACACATGCAACCTTCCCAACCCTGGAAAATCAGGGATTCCACCACCGCCGGGAGCCAGCGCTTGGCTCTGTCAGGCCTCCAATCCAGACTTCACACCATTCGAAAATACACATTTCCACCCTCCAGCGCTGATTCTGCTGCCGCCGAGCTAGTGAGGCTCTATGTCCAAAAAGGACACAACCACAACGCCTGCCACCGTTTTTTGAAAAAGCGCCGACGCCGGCGATCTGTGTGTGTCCACCCCTGGGCAAAGGGTTTTCCACCGCCACTTCCCTCACCGGTTTTCCACAAACTTTCACTCGCAGGGGGACCAGGCATCTCGCTGCTAACCTGGTCTAACAAAGCTAGGCAGCGAGATGGGAAGCACTGAGAGACGTCTCGGTGTGTACCTGCGACCAACTTTTGCAAAAGCTGTCCAATCCGATCGGTTTGATTCATGGTGGTTGCATGTTTCCTCCCACAAACAGGTTTTCCACCACCCTTCTCAGCCGCTCGTGAGCTGCAGCCGACCGCGCGAGAGTTTGCCACTGCAGTCATGCACAAACCAACTGTTCAACCTTCAAGTGAACTGACTTTTTCGCCATACCGTTCCCTCACCATTTTTGACCTGGGAACTGAGTATAACTGAATACAATTGTCGAAGTGTGTTTTTTTAAATCAATCAAGTGGATCTTCACTTCAAATGGGTCTTCAGAAGCTAAGCCCTAGGCGCCAGAAGCCCTTGTGTCAACTCCTGAGACAGGCCCCCTTGAAGAAGCAAGTGGAGCAGTCCATCCAAAAGTCGCTGGAGAACTTGCGGACGTCGTATATCGATTCCTTGATGATGCATTCACCCATGCCCACCCTAGAGGAGAATTTGGAGGCACATTCGAGTTGGCGTTCCGTGGGCTTGTCAACTTGGACTCTTAGGTTTTCTTATTGGACCCCGAGCGAGGGGAGATCGAGGACCCACAAGCAATCAGCCCTCCACAAACAATTGACGATTGTTGAATTGTTGACAACGCCTTGTGATCAAATTGTCAATTTGTTCATATGTGTTGTTTTCAATTGTTGCATTCTAATCAGGGTCAGAGGGTGCCACTGCGACAGGGCTCTCAGCCCAAGTGAACCCACAGCCCACAGCCCACAGCGCCGCAAGGTGTGGGGCGTTTTCGAGCAAGCTGGAGGCTGAGTTGGCAGAACAGCCTGGATTTAAAGCCAAAGAAAGGCATGAGAAAGCTGAGGTTCGAAAGTAGGGGCACCATGTAGCACCTGCGGCCAACAGAAAAGCATACAAGGAACCAAGTGAATTTTGCAGCTCATTGGTTGAGATACGATTTTGTGGCAGAGCGTGTGGGAACCTGATACCGTCGTATTAATACCGTCATCGTTTGTGTGCGAGTCTTGTCAGAGTTCTGCCTTGCGCCGTAGGGGGTTTGGCAAGGCAACTTTCCGGGAACTTCCCAGATCACTGCTTCATTTGCCAATTCAAAGTTCGGCTGAGTGACTCAGTGCCCGATCCCTCCACTCCATCAATGGCCTTGTAGGATGCTTTTGGGAATGATGATCTGGCTCCTGAAAACGCAAATGTACCGTGAAGCTGATGCCATGTGGAAGATGATGTACAATGATGTACAAACCCATGGCATGATTCACACGAGGGGTGGGGACCAAGGCTGTTGAGGCTGGACATGTGCGGCAACTGGGGATCAGCAACTGCTATGACCCCCGAGTCTTCCAGATGATCTACGATGCCGTGAGGCGCGAAGGGGCCTGAAGTGTCCAATGAATTTGTGAAGCTTGCGATGGTTTCAGTGCGAGGTGGTAGCTACCCTGTCCAAGAATGTGTTTAGTGGGTTGGCACACGACCAAGGATGTACTGATGTAATCTGCTGTACTGTATTCAATGGTCGCATCCACAGGTATGCTTGAGGTCACGGGGATTTGTTGGGAACGAGGAACACGGAGTCCTTGGTGTAGAGTTCAGAAATCACGCTCAGGATTTGACCAACATTTGTCATTTTCATGAACTCCACGTGGAAGCATCAGGAGGGTCAAGCCTGCTACCTTTGAGCCGCCAAATCCTAGGATCAAGCCCAAAGTGCTGCAGAATCGCTTCTACGCAGATTCGGGCTATGATCGGGAGCTCAGGGCCTTTTGCCTGGAGAATGGTGTCAAATATCAGACCTTTTGGACCCTCACGGCTAACCCACACCTGCTGGATGCTTGGCGCGGTGGGGTATGTTTGAGGGGTCAGCAGCTTACAGACAGCTGGTGCTTCGCTCACGCGTTTGGCCTGCGAGAATCTAGAATCTAGAAGGTTGTTTTGATGTGCCCATTTGAGCAAACACTTGATGAATTTCCTCCATTTTCTCTGGACATGCAACATGCTGGACATTGAGAATTTGAATGGACCCCTTAATGTAGACTCTCGATTGCTAATACCCGCCGCAAAGGTACATCCAGCACCCCCTGATATATAATATATTTGATCTATTCTGATACTTCGAGCCAAAATACAGCATACACTTTTTTGGTTGGTAATGCTTTTTCAAGATAAAACATGTTAACATACCAACATCCCAACATATTAATACTAAACAATTAAGACTCATCAATCGATCAACATACACTTATAATCGAAGACAATCAACTAAAGATGTCAAACAGAAAGTCAATCAGGAAGTATTTAAATCAATAATGCCAACAACATAATAACACAAAGGTTAATTTGTCTTAAGAAATAGCCAGGCGAAAATCAGCAGACATTTTTTTGGGGGTTTATTAGTATTAGTCGAACCGGACAATTTGCAAACATTATTCTGTGGGGTTTCATTCATTAACAGTCATCAATGTTCCCAAAGTGCTGGAGGCTTGCCAAGGTCAGATCCGAAGGTATCGACTTTGCTCTTCCTCTTTTTGATGGGAGGGAAGCTTTGAAATACTAGACACTTCCCCAGCCTGGCCCACCTGTCTGAATGGTGGTCCGGCCTTTCTGGCTCCGCCTAAGGAGATGCCACCCATTCGCGCAGCCGCACGGCGCTTAAGCGCCACCCCAGCGCAAGTGCTTTTCGCTTGGCTGATCCGCTCTGGGCATCAGCCGTTGACGGGTACCAAGCCGCTGGGTTCGAGTGCGGAGGGCGGTTCTTTGGGATTATGATTAATTTCGATTCCTTTGTGTATTTTTTTTGGCGGCTACTGTAGACCGTTGCCGTTGATTAACAAAACCCACGGTCTCCTGAAGATTTTTTACATCTCCAGGCCTGGGGTGACCTTTCAGTCTACAGGAGTCGCAGCGAGATGAAGAGATGCACCTTGGGGGGTCTTTGGGGCATTGCAGGATGTGAACAAAGATGGATGCTACAACTCACGCGGCCAAAACCGAACCCCCCAAGCCACGGTGAATGTCCACTGGTTTGCCATTTGGTAGGTGAGTTACACATTTATAGCGTTATTTTTTCCCTGGGATGCCCCTCACAACAAGAACGCCCAAGTACTTCCTCTTAGGTGGTGGCGATTGGATGCGCAAGCATCGGCGGTATGTTCTGATTGTGCCAGCTTTCACTCGGCTCTCATCCGCATCTTTGAGCCAAGGAGCCTGCAGCACATGAAGCAAGACCTCCAAGCGGCCAACATGGCACTGACAGAAGCTGAAATGCGAGACATTGGTGGCCTGTTTACTGGACGCTTCTCGAGCTATTAGCCGTTTTTCAGCAGATGGCTTGGACTCCTTCGACGCTGGATTCGGAGGTCGCCCGGGTGAGCCTCAGCCGGCCATGAATGGCCCCAAACAGTGGACCCACAGCGAGAAAAGAAACGGAGCCTTCAGTGCCCCATCCATGCCCATCCAAGCGCATCCGTTGATTCACACATCCTGAGGCCGCATCCCATCTTCTTGAAATGGGTTGGAGGTGCTGCTGGTGGACCTGGAATCGGAGGAGCCTGGGATCCACACCAAGAGGCGACACCTCTTTGCGCAGCCGTTCTGGTTCGGGCGGCTTGAGATGATGAGCTGTAGAAGGAGTAAGAGGATTGTTCATCAAGTGTTTGTCAATGTTGGTCCTCTTTTTTGGGGGGTTTTGTGCCTGTGCATGCGGGCGATGTCCATCTTTTACTTGTTTCTGTTTGTTCTCGATGTGCTTGTCTGTGGGAACGAGGATGCACATGGTCCTTTTGTGCTGCTTCAGTATAAAGTTCGCATAAGTTCGCAGTTAACACTTAGCACTCAAGATTCAATCCATTTTAGAGGCGTCCTTTTGATGGTGCTGTGACTCGACGATGGTGCTGGTCATGAAGCAAGCAATGTTTGCTTCGCTGCACCGCCAGGTGAAGGCGCTACATGTACAAGGCTTCCAGAATTTCTTGGTCGATGCCTCTGGAGATTTCTTGGATCCATCTCCCACCCTGAAAGCGCTCTTCTATGGCGGCCCCAAGCCAAAATACGAACCCCCAAAACCTTGGAAGATGAGGGTGTCCTAGTGGGTGTCCTCTGTCTGTTGATTGCCACGGTAGATTTGGGGAGGGGGATCGTTTTGGGTGATGCTTCGGTGGTGGTTCGGTAGTTGATGTACTTTGCTCCATTATATAGCTCCATTCAAGACACATAGCAGAGCTTTGCTTCACCACTGACATTGTTCGCCCTTGATGCAGTGATGCAGTATGCCGCCCCGCCGTCCGGAATGCGGTTCGGCGGCTTTCCTTTGGTGGAGCTGGGCATCCAGCTGCCTGCCACCAGTGGCGCAGCCAACCATGCGCCGCCCGCGGCGTCGCCCAGGTCTTCTCGGGTTCGAACCTCATTTTTTGCATCTTTGCCGTGACCTTGGCCAGTGCAAGGCGGCGACGTCCACAGCGGGGTGACATGCTGTGACATGCTTGGCGGGTTTGGTGGAAGCGGCGTGATATGGAGGGAGGAGTGGGTGATGGGAAGATCCATGTTCCATGCTCCTAGGACTTTGGTCCCCTTACCTCTATACGCACACACATATATATATATATAATCACATAATCATATATATATATATACACAGCCTGCCGATTGCATAATAATTACGGGTTCATCTTTCTACTGGCTCGAGTCACGAACCTCACTTGTGCCAAAGGATCCGACCTATTGGACCGCGGGAGCTGGAGAATCGATCAGGTGTGCATGTTGTTTATTGATTTGAATAGCTTAGCTTTCGATCCGCCATGGGTTTTTGAAGGCCTTTGATGTCAACCCTTTGTGTGTGTGTGTGTTTCCTTTTTTTTCCCGTGGCAAACTCCGAAGAGGGTTGTGTTTACCGTTGACTGGGTGTTCTGCAACATTTTTGGGGAGCTGAAGCTGCCCACCCGCCCACACTGAATGACAATCACTAGATGTTTCCGAAGACAAGAGGAACTCCTTGAGGGGCCCTGAAAACGGCCATGTTGCGCGGTCTTGGCTCAGATGCGTCATGCATGGGATTGGATCCGTAGGGGACATCAGCGGACATGAGGGGACATCAGGGGACCAGGGACCACAGACCACTTTCTCCGAGCTTGGAAGGTTTGCCTTCCTTGGACGTAGCCGATCTCCGTACGATGAGGTGCTGGGAGAGGCGGACGTTTCTTTTTGTGAGAGAGATTGGGACATGAACAGAGCAATCATTACGGAACATATCAGCATCATTCAGCATATCTTGCAGGTGGAACTGGGAACCCTGAAGGCTCCAACTAACTATCTTTGACTGGGGGTGGTCTTGCAACCTGGTGATGTCTCTGCACCTATAGCTACTGGCTTTGCAGCATCTTGCCTCCACAGCCCACCAGCCAGGACTTACACCATCATATGATCATATGCCAACGTCCAAGTTGGGACTGTCGTTCCATAGCGGAAATGGATAGGTCCTGGGTTCGGAACCCATACACAGGTTGTCCTTTTAGTGCACTTGAACACATGGGAGTGCGTTTGAGGTTATCATTTGCTGCTTGTCCCACTAAGACTAAGAGGTTGGTGGCATTCTGCGTCCCATCCCCAACCAACAATGCTTGCCACTGTCACTAACTATTTTTTTGTGTGTTCATGTATTTTCATGCATTGTCTTACATGTCAGAGTTGATTTGCCATAAGTAAAGCGCGCAAGCTTCTCGAGGGTCAGATTACCAACCACTCCTCAAAGACATGAGTTTTGAGTTCTTTTTTAACATGTGACACATGTCCGCGAGGCCCCTTGAGAATCCTTCGGCCGGGCGATGAAGAGGTGATCCACCAGAAGCATCAAAGACAAATAGAACATGGAAGAGTTTTGTTCAATTTTTTCATTGAAAAAACACATCCATGAACATCTGATCCGAGCCCTGCTGGCCTGCCCGACTACCCCATTTTTGCTGAGAGACTCGTATGACTCATACCTGTAATGACCTGGCCATCTACGCATGGTTGGCCGGGCTGGATGAAACTCGCCACACATGTTTTTTTCCATTCAGGGAGCAACTGACCATTGGGATGCTCTCATCCCTTCAAAGGCCGCGGCTTCCAAGAGGGGGTGCATGCCTTCTGGGTTTGGGTAAAGATAATTACACATGTATACCTATAAACAAGCTGGCCACAGCATGACATCCATGGCACTTCTGGCTGCAGTAGCTCTCAGGCTCTCAGTAGCTGGCTGTACTGACTTGTGAGCGCAGACAAGAAAGGGATCAGCGCCTGAGCCTCGAAATCCTGCATGGAATGGTTTGTCAAGTTGCTCAAGGTAACCCATTCAGAGGAATTTCTTTCTTCGGACCTCCACAACGTCAGATTGACGTCAGCCAGGTGGCCAAATAGGGTTGGTTCAACAATGATGTCTGCCGGCTTCATTTGTTGAACCACGGAGGTTCATGCAGCAGTGGCTGGACACCAACGTTGCCACATGCTGATTTGCAAAGGTTTTGGTTTGGAGTAGCATCGGCTCAGCTTGGAGGGCTCAAGGAGAAAGTACTTTGGCTTGGACGGATTTGCCAAGATGCCCAACAGCCGCGGGCCCAGCCCGGAATTGGCAGACGAACTGCTGCAGGGACGGGTCCGTGTGGTTTTGGGAGGATGAGGCAGGCGTGCTTGGAATCCCCGATCATAGATGATGGCCTTGAACCATCCTGAACCTATTGGTTGGTTGACTGAACGCCCTTTATCGTTCCAAAAGGACACCAGTCACCGACTTTTGTTCGTTTATTTTTTAGGGGAACTTCCAACATCAGGAGTGGGGATCACCACTACTCTACGCTTATACATGTGGATGCCTTGTTCTGTAGCTGACTCAGCTGACTAGACCAAAGGCAGATCCTGCGCTCAGTGGCTGCAGTATCCAGTGCTCAGTGGCTTTGCATGTGCTCAGTGGCTTCGAATGCATGAGGGCGCTGCATACAAGCATACAACATATAGCCCTATGATAATATATACAGTTCAGTAGGCACCCAGTGGCAAGCCATTGTATTCATGGCTAACAAGTAGATTTAGAGGAGTGGCCTCAGTTGGGTGACCTCTGATCCATAGATCACAGATTTATCGATCTTGGCTGTCATCACGCATCCATCTCGGCCATCTCACACAGGAGTATAGAATCTCTTTAAGCACATGCCAGGTTCTTCTAATCGCCTCCTTTCCAAGCGATCCCGGCCTCACGCCCATGGGCCTCACCAGCAGCCGGGAGCTGTGTGCCTTCCTCTCCAGCTTCCTCTCCTCGGCGCTCCACCGGAGCCTGTCCGGGCCTCCCGGGGAGGAGGTGCACCTGGATGCGTGTGTTCCGGAGGTGGAACCGTGTCCGGTGACTGCTTTGCCCTTGTGCCTTGGTGAACCGGTCCGAAGATGACATAAGGTGTGGTCCTTGAGGGGGAGACTTGCGCACTGATGTGCCCAACTGGATTCAAGTCAGTTGGCAGGTCCCCTTTGACACTCTGTGTTTAATCATAGATTTGTAGACAGTCTAAGGCTGCTCCTAAACCACGGGTACGTGTGTTTAAACCACGAGAACTTGAGACTAAACCACGAGAACACGCATTGAACCATAGCAATAAACACCCTAAAGATAACAAAACCGCCCTTAACATCCCTTAACCACGTCCCTGAGTGGCACTCACTTCTTGCCCTGTGGTCACTCATTTTCACTAGGGTTGTTCGAATCACTTCCTCTGCATGATAAACTGTCCAGATTTTAGCGAACACACCCAAATTCAGCCCATAAGAGGTGCAAGGCATTCATTTGCACTAGGGTTTGCTAAAACGCTTCCTTTGCATGATGGTGCTTTCCAAATACATCCTCATCAAGCAGTTGGACGTGGTTAGGGTCTTATTGGTTCGGGGTTTAATGCTTCCGCGTTCGGGGTTTATGCTTCTTGGCTCGTGGTTTCATATCATATTTTTGTCTTGGTTTAGCCCAAGTCTCGGACAGTCTGGTTGAGCTGACTTTTGTTGCCGCTGAGCCAGACCACGGTTCCATGGATCTATATATTACTTTTTTGAGGACTGTGGTCATAGGTGAGGTATTTCTTCTCAGCTCTTCTTTTCTTTTCGCAGCAGCTGGCCCACGTTACCCTGTAAATCACACTAACTAACTAGGATAATCCTGGCCTTGAACTCCCTTGCGTGCGTACACTTCCACTGATCGAAGGTTCAATGGGCAGATGGTCCTGTATGCTTATGCAGATGGTGAGTTGGTAAGTGTGGACAGCTGCAGCCGAGCAGTGTTGATGAGAGATTCCTTGCCGCGTGACGCCCGGCAAGTCAATTTCAGTGAAGTACTGTATGCAAACCATCAACTTTGAACAGCTGGCAGCTGGCAGCTAACTGAGAAGAGTGATTTTTGAGTAGATGTGCAAGCCTAGAGCCGCGAACGAATTGGCACGGTCGGAATGCATATCAATCAGCTCATTGGCGAATTGGAGCGTTTGCGGTTGCCGCAGCCTATGAACCCTGGCAGGTCTCCATCACCTCATGTCAACTATAGGGGTGGTGACTGAAGGAGTCGAGGACGATGCTTACTTACCCTAAGCCGTTCCAGAGATGTTGTTCTGTTTCACCTCGTTCAAAGTAAGATGCCCAAGAAGAGCCTTGACCCTCAAAACCGCAAAAGAACAAACCTGTAGAGCATAAGTCATTCCTGACCAGCCATCTATGGAAACTACTCACCTTGAAGTGCTCTTCATGATTTCAACGAGTGCCGCGCCCACTATATTGAAATCTAAACCCTCTTGAGGCCTGCATACTGCCGGACCTTGTGTGGCGCATGCCACGCCCATCCTTAATCGGCTGAGAGGCCCAAACCCGATTCAAGGCCAGTTAAAACTGTCAAACCCCTCGACCCCAGGAGCTTCTCTTCCCACGCCCAGGGGCTCCTTTGCTCCGATACTTCCGACCTCGTCCTGGGCGAGCCGGTCACCGCCCAACTCTTCGTCGCCGAGCGCGTGGAGCGGCACCGGCCGGCGGTGCTGCGGCGCTGGGCCACGCGAGGGTGGAAAGCCGTGGGGAAGTGCGGGGGCCCATTCTCCGGAAGTCGCTGAAATCGTGCAGTGGAGCTCTCTTTGGGGGGTCATGACATGTGACATGTGACATACCAAGGTGATCCAAGGTGTTTTTAGAATTTTTAGACGCGGATGAAGGGCAATCTTCATCGAGATGGTGGAGAGAGAGTGAGAGATGCTGAGTGATGCTGGGGCTGTTTAGGGGAAGATGGGGAAGTACCCTGCACTGAACATTCTGAATGGACGCGATGTTTTTCCCTCTTGATTTTTTGAGCCTGTAGTGCTGCCACATAATTTTGCGCATTGGAGTCATGTATCCTCATGAGGTGGTATGGGTCGAGCATTGGGCCATTCATTGGACAGGAATTGGTTCAAAGGATTTCAAAGGACAGATTTGGTTTCGTTGGATCTTGCTTGTCACTGTCAGGCAGTCCTGCTTGCGCTTGCGCAGGATGTCAGATGTCAGCATACGTGAAGTCACCAGAAGTAGCGTCCATGCGCCAGCTGAAGTTGGGGATGACGTGTCATGATGTGTCAAGACCCCAGTCCCATGAGATGACCCAGTCTCCTGAATTGACCCAGTCACCGGGGAGAGGGTGGGTCCACCAGGTGGGACTTCAACTTCTTTCAGCAGACCTGTGGGCATGTAGAGGTGGAGGTGACGCTGCCCAAGGGTCAACGAGAGATGCAACTGTTGGGTGCCTACCTGGAGTCCCTGTCCCACTCAATCCCACCGGAGCAGTTGCCCTACCTGCGGGGCTGGTACTACGAGCGGGACGCACCATGGCTGGCGGAGGACTTGTGGCAACAAGGCGACTTCCACGACTGTGCCTTCGAGGAGTGTGGGGGCTCCTGTCCAAAATGACGCGCTTGTCCTATTTCTGTGAGACTTTAACAGCTCGCCACTGTTTCTCATGCCTGCACGTACACGAATAGTACCCAAGAGAGAGAGAGAGAGAGAGAGAGATAGAGAGAGAGAGAGAGATGGATGCACACACACACAAATCAGAACTCCGCACCATTTTTCAATTGGATCAGCTCCCTTCTTCTGATTTGGGGCTGCAAAACATTCAAGGTTCGACGTCCCCACTACGGGGAGCTGAATCCGCGCCAGGATTACTTCAAGCGCCTGCCCAAGCGGCATCATCCCGATTTCCATTGGCTTTTCTTGGGCGCTGCTGGTGCCAAGACTCCCTTACACGTGGATCCCTCCACGACCCACGCGTGGCTGACGCAGCTTTCAGGGCGGAAGCGCTTCACCCTTTTCCCACCACAGGAGCTCCAGCGACTGCGGAGCGACCAGAAGTTCCGGTGTCTGGAGGAGATTTTGAGGGACAAAGAGGTGAAGCCCTTGGAGGTGATCTTAGAGCCAGGTGAGCAGCCTGGGAAATGACGAAGGGGTACAAAGAAGCGAAAGAAGCAACATGTAATGAAATCACATCGAGGAGAGGGACACGCAGAGATTTGTACTGTCTTAGGTAGGTCGTGTTAGTTGTGTCATTTTGGTTAACCGACATCTTCTCGGTTGTCAGCCACCTAGTGATGTTTATTCCTGGCTATATATTTGATTCTTCCTTGGTTTCTTGAGCAACTCTCCCTCCCTCTCTGTCCCCCTCTTTGTGATTCTGCGTGTGCATGGACAGTTCCATAACTATAAATATCTTAATTGTATAGTCTTTCGATGGTGCACACGCAACAACTTCGGGGAGGATGGACCCTCTCAGTCTGCCCGGAAGGTTCACCGAACCGCCTTCAGCGGACCGCCGGACCGGACTGAGGCGATACGATCTTCGTGCCCATGCACTGGGCCCACGAGGTGGTTTGTCTGGAGGACTCGGTGAGTTTGACCTGGAACTTCTTGGGCCGCCAGGCGGGGACGGCGCCTCCCTCCGCTTGGGGGAAGAAGCGGAACGAGCCGAACGAACCCTCCGCGAAACGGAAGTGTCCCTGCCGTTTGGGGTTTGAGGCCCAACATGGAGAGGACCCTGCGACCCATGACCCATGAGCAACTGCCAAAACGTGCGATGACTGCAATGACCAGTTTGGCAAAGAGCGGTCGTGCAGTTCAGGAATTTGGCTAGAACCTGCAACAGCGACAGGGCCCCCTCAAGAGCGGCAACCATGCTGCCGCAGTTTTTGGATGTTTTTGGATATGTTCATGCTTTGTTGAAGATGAAAAAGCTATAGGCCCCCCTTAAAAGCGATAACCTTGAGAACAATCATGCCCTCTTCGTTACAAGACCTTGTTGACAGACACTCATATGATCCGTGACAGTTTCAGACTGCTGGAAGGGTCAAGTGACTGGTCGGAGGTTTCAGGGATATGGATCTACCTTTGAACCCGTCAAGCGGACTGAGAGTGCTTTCTGAAAGTCACATGCACGAACACCAAACCTGGAAGACCACTTGGTTGTGCAAGGATCCATGTTTGAACTTTGATTGTTGATGGAAGATCAGAGATGTGGAGAAATAGACAACAAAATCGCTTCAGGTCACCATGTCATGTTGCAGTGTTCCATATTGCCAAAAGTGCTGGACATCTCGCATGGGCGCATGGGTATTTGATGACTGGCTGCTCCAGAACTTCATACATATGCGGATATGCGGCCCTACTTCTTTGATCCACGGTTCCATGATCAACTGCAATTGACCCTGACGAGCGAAAGCAAGTGTGGTCATTCGCCAAGCAGCTTCCAAGCAGGATTTCGGACATAGACTCCATATCATGTGCCCCTTGGCCATTTGACCCCATTTGAAATCCATTTGAGCTGGCCTTGCCCACCCTGCCAGGCCTTTCCCTTCATTCGCGCGGCCTTTCTGGCGAACTCGGCTCGGCCGAAAAGAGCTGCCGGAGCTGAAGAATGAGTCTGGAAGGCGTGCCGAGCAGAATTGAGATGGCCTTCAGCTCCCTACCCATGCTATTCCGCTATTGGCTACGAAGCGCTTTCAATGACCCATGTGCTTTGAAGGGAGTATGAAAGAGGGTGGAAGACTCTGGAAGACTCATTTGCTGTCGGATTCGGCGCATGCGCCCCATGCACTCGCAATGTCGAGTGGAGCCCGTGCGGCCAAAGTGTTGCTGGAGAAGGGCATTTGGTTTCGCGCTTTCTTGCGGCCAAGGAGGGTAGGCGGGAGGCCTGGAGAAAACAGAAACACAAAACATGTGGTGATGGTCAGAGTGCTGCTCATAACGTGTCCCGTTATTGCACAACCAGTCTATGAAGCAGATCACCAAGCAGGGCAGATCTGTGGCCGTGTTCTTCAAAAGACCTGCGCGTCCGGCCCAGAGGGTTCGGTTCGGTTCCACCAGAGCGTCCCGGTTCGGTTTGGAAGGTCGATGGGGTCTAGTGAGGCGAATTGCGGAGGTGCCGCAGTTGATACCGGTGTTTGGTCAGTGCATGGTATACGTGCCATTGGATTTTTCACTGACTTAGTGGTACTTTAAGTGCCGGTGAGCGAGTGTGGAGCGGCGAGTTTGGGTGGCAACTGAGGCAAAGCATGCAAGGTCATGGCTGCCGGGACCGCGGTGGCTGGGAGTTTGGCCTTCACTGTCACCCCTGGTGCCTGGAGCCCCGGGGAAGGGGAAGAGCTGGTCCAAAGTGGGAAACCCAACATCTCTACTAGCATCCCGAAACTACAGCAACAACATGAAGTAGAGCAGGTGTGCGAAATCACATCATGTTGGAGTTTTGATGTGCAGGCCCTTGAACGTCCTTGAACTTAACCCGGGCCTCGCTCTTTGGTGACCAGGAATCTGCAAAATGTCATTGCAGTTCAGATTTGCAGGTCAAGCAGCTCTCATAGTGGACCACTTGCACATACTTTACATCTCACACACAAGGTCACAAGGTTACAGAAGTGACAGACATCAGCCCGGAGGCATCACTCTCCGAACCGGCACCTCCGATCGGTCCCTCAGGTCCCTCGGTCGTTGGCCCCACGCGGAGCCACGACCACCGGTGCCAAGACCTCCAAGGAGCGTCCGGAGCGTCCGACACGAGACGACCGGGGAGCGGTGTCAGGCACCGAAGAGGTCACCTATAGGCTTTGCAGCGCGCCCGCTGGAAAACGAAAGGAACGCGCCCCGAATTGTTTGTGGTTGGCGCGAAAAGGCGATGGATCGTGGTATTCGACGAACATCGTTGGAGTGTACGAAAGTAGCGCATTTGACGGACATGGAGTTCAAAAATGTTCAAAAGGTCTTCAAAGATCTTCAGAAAGGTTTTGCATGGACCTGGAGATGCACAAAATCAAGATTCCTCCCTTTATGGCTGCCAGGTGAGTAATTAGGTCGTTTTGAAAGTTGAACAGGTCCTTATTCGTCCAAATCTCCTGTTGCGCGCGGGATGGGTTCAGGAGTCGGTTTTGGGGGTGTCTTGTCTGCGTGGTCGGGTGGCCTACAGGGTATCCTGCATAAGATTTCCAATAGGTTTCCATTGTTTGGGTATGTTTGGGTTGATTGAAGGGGATATGATACCAAATGATACCAACCAGTCCGTGCCCGTGCCCTGGTGTTTCCTTTTGAAAGGACTTAGGCGCATCTCGGGGTGAAGAGGCCCTTCTGCTCGGCATAGTCCCCTTAGGCCGACCTTGCCCCCTGGACGACGAAAGCACTCAGTGAGTAAGGTGAGTGTGTTTCAATATAGTAAAGCCCTTGTTACAAATAGCGATGCACGTGTTACATCTTGTTACCGATCCATGGCAAGCGAGCTTTGACCATCCATGTCAGGCTGATGGCTTTGCAGCTCCCGCCTTGGCGGCTGCCTTGGGCGCTTCTGCCTGCGCCGCGGCTCGCCGCCAGACGCGAGGGGCCCGTGGCCCAGTACGGAGGAGATGCTGGACGTGGACCATGGCCCCTAGAAAGACGATCAATTCTCCTCTACAATCACTGTATACCTTTTGGATTCTTTTGGCAGGCAGCATATGCAACGGTGTCAGGGTAATCATCCAAATTGTCAGTTCATGCCATGTGCTAGTCATGTTTCTTCCTTTTCGACTGCAGAGGCGCTTGGACAGGGCAAGCATTGACGCACAGTGACCGTGAATACTCAAGAACGTTCCATCGCGCTCACCGCATCACCAACGAATTGATCCATCTTCCGTGTGTCCTGATAAGCCATGATAAGCCCTGATTGTAGACACTTCCCAGGCTTTGTCCCAAGCAAAGCCTGGGAAGACATCTGAGACATTGTTTCTTTTTTACCTCCTGGATTTGAGGCCAAGACCTCCAAGCCCAGGAGAGATGGGGAGGGCAGGAGGGCAGGAGGGGTGGGGTCAGCTGGCTCGCGGGTCCCAATGTTTGCACATGGCCCATGGCTGTACCAAACAATGACTGACCCTGGATTCTTTTGCGTGTAGTCGCATCATCGCACGTCCACCACATTCCACCACCAGTACTACTACACTATAGGACAATGCCTGTGGCTACTGCTACTGCTGCCAGTGTACAAGTGCCACCGGGAAAATCCTCCTCGTTTTCATTAGACATTTTGATGCCCAGGACTGCTCAGCGGGTGGTGGATGAGTTCGAAGACGTGTGCGAGCAGACCGGGGTCACGCTCAGCCGACGCTCGGAGATGATCGTGGAGAGCGGAGGGAGTGGTAGAGACGGTTTTTCACACAGGGCTGATGGATGGATGTGGAAGTAAGCGCATGAGATCCTTGCATGCTCCTTTTTTTGAGGTGAATGTGGCAGATCCTGTATTACTCGCCGTCATCAGCCCTTTCCAATGGTCGTTTTACTCCTTTTTACACCAATGAATCTCAAGACTGGAAGTCGCTGGAAGTCACGCCTCTTTGATGCGATGCCTCAGGGTTTTTGTATAAATTTCTGAGATCCTGGCGGCTGAGCGGCAGACGATCCACACCCCAGTCGGACTGCTCGCTCGCACTCCCGAGTAGAAGAGATCGTCGCAGTAGATCGTCACAGGTTGCAAGTTCCGAAGTTGACAGGGACCAAAAACGATCAAAAAGAGTTGGTCAAAAACGGCCAGAGATGGTCAAAGACTAAAGAGTTGGTCAGAGATGTTCACAAGTTTATCTGCAAAGAGTTGGTCAAAAACGATCAAAAACGGCCAGAGATGCCCCGGCGTAGGCAGGCAGCATAGGCAGTAGCAGCATAGGTGTATATATAGTATTGATCCCCTGACAGAGTATCCTTTGGACCCTGTTATCCTATGTGGTTACGAGCTGCCGCCGATCAAGCGAGCCAGCGAGCAACTGTCACTGTTGTTTTCTCATCGGAGGCTACTGCATCGAGCTAGCGAACCGCGGCATCATCGATGAGGACCTCAGCTCCATCTTCAACTCCATCCGCGAGGTGCACCGGGGTGAGGAGCTGCTGCTTCCCATGTAGCCATGTGGCTGGTGTGAACCACCAGCTTGCAGGCGATTTTGGGGGCCTTCCCTTATTTTAAGGCCTAAGCAAACACACTTCTCCTCCTAGCCTAAAACCTTAGAAGTGCTGATGCCTTTAAAGGTACCTTGGAGATTGTTTCCATCATGGGTGGGCTTGTAGTAGTGTAAAGGGTCGTGAAGCACGAGCAGCTTGGATAACAAGGACAAACGTAAAGTCTACATATGTTTAGACATGTTTAGACTGTTTAGCACATGATGCAAAAATGATCAAGCATGAACCAGCCAAGCTTGCCAGTATGCCGGCGCTGTGTTGCAGGCAGCCAAAGTTATCTCCAAGCTGGTGAATACCGCGCCCTTGAAGCAGGCGTGGCTTTGAAGGAGCCAAGAGGTACCACAAAAGTGCACATTAAGAAATATAGATGTCATCAATAAAATTTATATATTATATGTAGTTTGAATATTGTGTATAGAAGGGGATCGGCTTTAAGTATATGTACTACACTGATATCCGGATATCCCACACACATTTCTTGCTTCATGGCAAGATCGGCTTCGAACATGTCGCGCGCGAACCCGGCGTGCGCGCGCGACGGAGCGCGCCCGTCTGTTGGATCGGAGGCGGAGCTGCTGGGCTTGCAGGGTGAGATCAACGTGCAGGGCGAGGATCAGAAGAAGTTGGATGTTGCCCGGCTGATGGAATGGCCGCGGCTGGATGGAAGATGGTCCGGAGTAAAGTTAAGAAGAACCTGGGGATTCTTTTCAAGATGAAGTGCCATGCAGCATTGCAATCCATTTTAAACTTTTTGCATGGCCTGTGTGCGCCCTCTTGTTTTCATCGTTATTGTTCTCTTTCTTTGTTAGTCAGTATCATCGTTCAGGGTCAAAGCTGGCTGCTACTGCACGAAGTGCGCCTAACCACTTCACCAAAAACATTCAGGTTTGACAATGATTTGACGATTTGACACAAACGACGTCTGGCGTGGGAAACGGCGCGTTGCTTGAGGTCATCACCAACGACGTCTTCAAGAATGCGCTGCGCTACACAGGCAGACGGACTTGTGAATGTGATGTGGGTGGCCAGCATGGCAGATGTAGAGTCTGACTTGCTGTTCGAAAACCGCCGTGGCCAAGAAAGTGTTGAGTTGCCTCTGGCGCCATCACCGAAGCTCCATCTACCTGGAACCCGGGAACCCGTTTGATCCACTGTTTTGATAGGAAAAGGACCCTATTTTGGGTGGTTGGTGGTTCAATAGTAGAGGTCAGACTCAGGTTCTAGGTATACATAGGCAATGCCCTGATGGACCTGCCTGGACTAGCCCTCGGACGCCAAGGCAAAATGGGAACCCTGGCATCCGAAGAAGAAGATGAGCCAGTGGATGGAGCCAGGCTTTGGGAGGGGCCGGATGGTTCGCGGTTCCCTGAAACAGGCCGTTTTGCGTGGAGGGCCCTGTTTGTATTGATGGTGGGGAGACAGCGTGCTAAGATCACTTGATTCTGGGATTTGGTGGGATTGGGTGGGTGGATGGATGTCTTGTTGTATCTCCATAAGGTTGCGCTGTGGGCCCACATACAACGCATCATGAGACTCTTTTGGTACACAAAAAAGTGTGCACTTATTTAGAGGTTTGGTAGTGTTTGGTGCACTAGAAGATTCTTCGGGCATTTTCTTAGGATCCAAGCATTTTTTCCGGAACTTGAGCACTTTCCAGGTTTCAACTTTGTTTGGAACACTTTTTCGGGAATCAGCTCGAACACCACAGTCGGATGATATGTGTTAGCTCACCACAGACGATGGTGACGGAAGTGGCCGACAAACTTGACAGGTCTTCATGCGCGGGTGTCTATGGGTTTGAAATCCTTGCCTCATGCCTCAAGCCTTTCGTTAGGTTTACCATTTGGAACCCGAGAAAGAAGTTCGACAGCTTTCGATTTTCAAGAACACATTCGTGCAAAAAACGTGAAGCTCACAGAAACATGAAGCCGGGCAAATAACAAGATAACACACATAAAACGTGATAACACGGATACTGTATATAAATATGGCAGAAAATGGAATTGGAAGACAGCTATCTTCCAGGTGCAGCAAACATCATCGCAGATGGAGGGGAAGGTATAGTGTCTTCCAAGAAGGTCCAACATATTTCAACATCGTGTTGCAGGCTTGCTACTCTTCGATCTATATATCATAATCATGATCATCAGCACAATCATCATGGTCGTGAGCATGGTCATCGTCATCGCATCAAGCACACCCACGCAAAGCATCCGTTCAATACAGTGGTTTCAGAGTAGATGCGCAATCTTCCAAAGGTGGTTTATTTGGTCGCCCATGTAAAGGCATCTTTGGGCTTGTGCCATCTAGAAACTACTGAGAACAACAACTTTATGTTTTACAACTTTCCAACGTTTGACCTACTGCAAGAGAAGCTTCTTCACCCTCCTTCACTTCTGCAGGGCAGGTGAGAGCAGCGAAGTCATCCCTGTCTTGTCGGAGGCCGGACACAATGGGACACGCCACCTCTCAACCAAATGGATCTCCCAAGTAACATGTGTCTGGAATTCGTTTATCCCAGTGGCTATCGATAGATGCCGATAGAATAGACATGATAAGACCTTATCATTTTTGCTAGTGCACAGCTTCACAGTCATCACGATTTTGCTATGAACGACGCAATCACCAATGACGACCCATGCCAACAAATTCCGTGGAAATGCTAGTTGGAGGAAAACACAGATAAGCAACACATGGGATGTCTCTCCTTTCTTGAGGCATCAGCAACTATCATTTCTGTGTATCTTTGTTGGAGGGAGGGGGTGCTGGTTGTCGCCCGAGGTGGGTGGTCGGCGTCGTCGAATGGTTCGGTCGTCGCCATCTGCCGACCTGGCACTCGACCTGCCGGTGAGTTCCGCCTGGCGCGCGACGGCGCGGGTGTCCTGGTTCCTTTCAGCTGAGGAGTTTGCAGACACCGGGAAATACATTTGCGTCTTCGACCCCCTGGATGGCAGCAGCGACTGGGCGAGGGTGGGGTGGAGCAAGTTTCGGAGTAGATGGCAAAGCAAAGAGCTGGCTTTCCAAGATTCAAACCACCTTGACCCTCCAGAATAGCATGCACCCTGAAAGGCGCGATTCAAACGGACCAAATCGTCTTCCATTTCGGGGAATCGCTTTGGTGATGTTTGGTGCATTTTTCTGGTTTGGTGCGTCGCCTTTTTTCCCCGAGGCAATGTGGATGCCGGCATCCCTGTGGGCACCATCTTCGGTGTCTTTCAGGCTTGGGTGGTCAGGTGACCACCACAGTCGACAGAATGAGCTGTTTCAGCCAAGACGTGAGGTCTGGGAGGCTCCGGGGAATTACTGTGGAATCACTCCAGAAGACAGACCGAAGTAGAACATCGTGGAAAGGAATCCAAGGATTCTCGGAGTCTCCGAACTGGAAGATCACCTCCATGATTTGAATTGATTTGACGTTTGTTGATCGAAGTGTGCCATTGTCACCAGGAGCCTGACCCTGCAGAGTGCGAGCTGCCAGATGACTTGTCCAAGGGCCTGTCCGAAGACCAGCAAAGGCAGAAGAGCTAATCAAACACGCAGGGAAAAGAAAGGGGCAGTCAAAGTCTGAATCCCCAAGCTCATGGTTGAATAATATATAACATACACATGTTTCCCGGAAGACTAAGTATTCTCTTCTTCATGTTCAAGCCGGGGTTGACGCGTAAAAAAGTGTACTGTATAACATGTATAACCAATGTGATCGATCGGGTGGCGAGCGGGACCCCGGGACTTCCTCCCCAATGCTTGGTTTCGCCAATGAGCACTGTTATTGATGTCCGAAGTTGCTGAAGCTTCACAGCTGCGAGTGCAGGTGCTTGGCTGGTACTCTGCAGCCTGGCAAGGTGGGTGCGGTCGGGTCTCGAGGGGTGGAGCCGAGGAAAAAGGGAGGACGTCTTGCTCCACGCAGGGCGTCGTTCCGAAGTCCCAGAATGCTCATTCACCGGGATTCTCCATATCAAGAGGGGCCAAGAGGGGCCTCCAATCCATCCTTCACGGCGTCCAAAATCCAATGCACCACCACCACCACCACCACCACCACCACCACCACCACCACCACCACCCAACTCAGCATCCAAACGCAGTCGCTGGTGGCTGCTGGCTATGTCTTGTACTCGGCCTCCACGGAGTTGGTCTTGACCTTCGGCCAGGGCGTGGTGGGCTTCACCCTGGACAGCAGCCACTCGTCGCGTACGTGAACCACGAGGAGTGGTAGTGGTGCGGCTACCCCATCCACCAAACTGGCTTGTTGGCTGTGGGTTGACAGGAAGGCCCAAGCAACCGGAGCCTCGGAACTTCACTTTTCATGTATCTTTGAGAGGCAAGGAGAGCTCATTGCATGCTCACCTCCTTGCCTGGAGGGCCCCCACTGAGGCATCGGCGAGTTCGTGATGACGCGACCATCGAGACTGGGGCTGCATCGGGCCCATGGCACAATACAATACAAATTACAATATATATATATATATACCAGCACCTCCAACAGGTCACCAATTGAACCTGTTAGGGCCTAACAACCCTCCAAAGGAGACCTGTTGGAAGGTGCTGGTATCTAGTATAATTGCAATATAACTATATATTATACTGCATCCAGAGATGTCGAGAGGTCCACCAATGACTCCTTCCGGGGTGGCAACTTCATCAACGATTTTCTGAGAATGTAGTTGTTTGATTTACTGGAGGACTCTAACATCTCTAACGGGTGATAACATACACACAGAAGAAGGGCTTCCACTTTTTGCTTCAATAGGAGTCAACCAGCTCAAGGCGTGTTGGGGATGGTCTTTCGATGCATTTCTGTTCCAACCGTGGAGCTGTCATGGCACCTTTTGAATAAAGGTCGGGCAGAAGGCGATGCTGGATTCCAGTGGTCAGAACAACAGGGACATTTGCAGAATTCTTGTTTCAGTGTGTGAGATGCTGGCGCCTTATGTATATATATATATATTTGTTAAAACAATATATATATATATACCATATGAATGGATATATTTATTTGCTACGGGCAAATGTCGAGGATTTCAGGCGGGGAACTGCTCGTGAGATCCCTTAGGATCAAGATTCCCGCGAGGGGCAAGATCTACTCGTGCAACCAGGGCAACATCAATGACGCTTGGCGGTCAACTTCTGCCTGTTACGACGAACCGGCATTCCAAGTCCGGAGCACATTATCATAATGTGGCCTTGTTACCCCCCAAAAACAACTCACTGCTTGGTACAAGACGCCTTCCAGTCTGGCCGTGACTTTGCAAAGTCTCAAATGTTTGTCCTGATCTGCCGGCCACTTCAAGCTGATACCAAAAGCAATCCCAAAGCTCAGTGAGTGCTCCATGGGGCCACTTCAGGAGTGGGATCAACCCATGCGGGACTACATCGAAGCCATCCGCAAGGGTGAAGGTGCCGGGTCAGGGCCGAAGTGGGGCATTTTGGGGGGGACAGGTTTGGCCAGGGCAAGAGGGGCGGAATGCAGAACATCCATGAACATTCATGAATTCTTGTGCTGGTTGTTGGGATGAATCAAGGAGCCGGGGTATCTACAGATGTATCCACATTCTACATCATCCTTTTCCACAAAGCAGAGCCAAAGAGCTGCAACAAGAACCCATCCACGTGCTAGTTGGGGATTCATTGGACAGAGAGAAAGTCCTTTGAGTGCCCCAAAGTGTTTCTGCCACAACCCATCACAACCCGCAGGTGAATTCCGTCAACTGAGCCAACTGGAACCCAGAAGCCACATGAGAAAGAGGAAGCAGAACCTAGGGCAGCCAACAAACTGAGTCCCATTGAATCCCTCAAAAACGGATCTCATAGGCGAACTTGGCAGAGCTCAGACCTCGCGCGTACCGCGGATGGTGGTGGGGAAGGTGAGTCCAAGAAGCCCTACTCCCTGCGTTACATTGGCTCCATGGTGCCTTGGAGAGACGAAGCCGGGGAGATACCCCGACGTTTGTGGCCTCAACCCGCATTCGGCCGTGGTGTTCTGACCGGTTTCCGAAGGCAGATGAAGAGGCCATGAAGACAGGGACATGTCCAAGACAGGGCCAATCGAAGTCCTGGATACTCCTAGCAGGTCTCAACAGTGCATCGCTACTAGGAGCAAGAACGCTACTAGGCTACTACTAACAAAGGGCATCGCTACTAGGAGCAAGAAGGCTACTAGATGTCAGATGATTTTTCCAGCTGTTTCTGTGCTGCCGCCGGAAAGCTCCCCTAAAACCGACGGGATGAGGTGGGCGATATCCACCGCACCCTGCTGTATGGCGGCATTTTTGCATACCCTGCGGACAAGAAGAATCAGGAGACGGAGCTTGTTTCAAGGGTGAGCATCAATACATGCACGGCACTTGCATCGCTTCCTTCGGACATTCATGCACATAACAGTGATTGGTCCACCTACCAACCATTTGGGATCCTGAAAGCCTGAATATATAATAATTCAATGTTTTTGTTGTTTCCCATAAGGCACTCAAGCTTTTCTTGTCCACATGCCGCCGGAAAAGGGCAAATCATGGAAAGAGCTGTCGTCCCCGTACCGCTCCACGCTCATTGCTTCGGAATCACTGACTGCTATTGCTGAACCGCATCTTCGGCAAGTTCTTTCTGGACTCTTCCTCAACCACTTCTGAATCTGATTCCAACTAGCTTGTGCGGACACCCCTGGAGTAGAAAATGTGCGCTACATTTGCTGCTTGCTATGTTGTCCGTGCCTAACGAACACCTACAGCATACAGCATACTTAAAATGCTTCATCCCCTATCGAAGAAGCCAGCGTGCGAAAGCGCCTGCGAAAGCCACTGTTGCAACACAAGTGCGCGCGAAAGCTAAAACTGTGGTCGCCCAAGCAGCGCGTAAGAATGTGCGAAAGCATGTTGTTAGTATAAATGCTTAGGATAGAGGTGTTTGGCATGGCTCAATTGGCAATTTCCCATTTGCCTTCAGGGTCAGGGTTGGCCATTTGTTTGCCATATTCGGTCAGAACCACATCCGGGAGACGCATCAAAAAAGAAATATAAATGCATCAATAAAAAAATATAAATGCATCAAGAAAAAAGTAAAAATGCATCAATAAAAAAATAAAGAAAAGAAACAAAGAAAGGCAAGGAAGGAAGGAAGGAAGGAAGGAAGGAAGGTACGAAGCCAGGACGGAAGGAAGGAAGGAAGGAAGCAAGGATGCAAGGAAGCAAGGAAGGATGGATGGAAGGAAGAAAGGCAGCAGGGCAGGAAGGAAGGTTCGCTTTCGGTGGCTCTTGGGTTTTGGTGGCTTTTGCCTTTGGTTTTCGATGGCTTTTGTAGGTGGCCAGCTTGCGGAGCTGCAATGGCAAGTGTTGTCATGTATTCTATGTGAATGCATTTTTTGATGCATCTCCCGAAAAACACACACAACAACAAGCACCACTTTTGAACTCCTGTTCTATCCCCCATTTGGCCAGCTACTCAGCAAGCCAGCTTACGGACCTGTGCTGCCTGCAGTGGCCAGGAAAGCTGCAAGTTGACTCACCGTTTGTTGCGCCACCCGAGGCTAAAATTTGGAGAAGGATGTTGCCATTTCAACTTGACTCACCCTTTTGCGCACAGGGTAAAATTTTGAGAAGGAAGTGGTCACTCCAACTTGACTCATCCTTTTGTGGGAAATGCAGGGGAAAAAATTTAGAGAGGGAAGCGGCCATGCTGAGTTGACCCACCCTTTTGTGGGCCACGCAGGGGTAAAATTTAGAGAAGGATGTTGCCATTTCAACTTGACTCACCCTTTTGTAAGCCATGCGGGGGTAAAATTTAGAGAAGGATGTTGCCCTTCCAAGTTGGTGAGCCACCCGAGGGTAAAATTGTGAAAAGAAGTTGCCATTTCAACTTGACTCACCCTTTTGTGGGCAGGGTAAAGTTTAGAAAAGGAAGTGGTCATTCCAAGTTGACACACCCTTTGGTGAGCCACTGGAGGGTATAGTTTAGAGAGGGAGGTGGCCATGCCAAGTTGACTCACCCTTTGTTGCGCCACCCGAGGCTAAAATTTAGAGAAGGATGTTGCCATTTCAACTTGACTCACCCTTTTGTGGGCCATGCAGGGGAAAAATTCGAGAAGGATGTTGCCCTTCCAAGTTGACTCACCCTTTGGTGAGCCACCCGAGGGTAAAATTTAGAGAAGGATGTTGCCATTTCTACTTGACTCACCCTTTGTGGGCAACGCAGGGGTAAAATTTAGAGAATGAAGTGCTCATTCCAAGTTGACTCACCCCTTGGTGAGCCACTGGAAAGTAAAAAACTAGACAAGGAAGTGGCTATTCCAAGTTGATTACCCTTTTAAGTGAGCAACGCAGGGTAAAATTTGGAATACGCAGCAACATTCGGGAAAGGGCCTGCGTGCGCACTTGACTCCCCATGGTGGGGTGTGCGCACGCTGAGTTAACAAGTGTGTGCGCAGATGAGGCACAAGTGCCGATAAAATGTGTGTGCGCAGTTGAGTTGAATCCGTGTGCGCGGCTGCGGCGCCGCCCTTCTGTGAGCCACACGAATGTACAGTAGTAAAGTTTAGAGCGCAGAAAGCCATTCCATTCTAGCACGCCAGTAAAATTTTGAAGAGGTGAGGCGACCGTAAGGCCCCTGGTCCTTTGGTCCTCTGTTCCCCTGGTCTCTGGATCTGAAAAGGTTGTGGGTCTCTAGACTCTAGAGGTGGATCTGTCTGGATGTCGAGGCCTTTGGATGTCCAGCTTACGGAGCTGTGCTGCCTGCAGTGGCCAGTGTCGTCAGCACTGTGCTGCTGGAGGTGGCCAGAGTGTTGTGAGCACTGTGCTGCTGCAGGTGGCCAGCTTACGGACCTGTGCTGCCTGCAGTGGCCAGGAAAGCTGCAAGTTGACTCACCCTTTGTTGCGCCACCCGAGGCTAAAATTTGGAGAAGGATGTTGCCATTTCAACTTGACTCACCCTTTTGTGCACAGGGCAAAATTTTGAGAAGGAAGTGGTCACTCCAACTTGACTCACCCTTTTGTGGCCAATGCAGGGGTAAAATTTAGAGAGGGAAGCGGCCATGCCAAGTTGACTCACCCTTTTGTGGGCCATGCAGGGGTAAAATTTAGAGAAGGTCGTTGCCATTTCAACTTGACTCACCGTTTTGTGGGCCATGCAGGGGCAAAATTTAGGGAAGGATGTTGCCCTTCCAAGTTGACTCACCCTTTAGTGAGCCACCCGAGGCTAAAAATTAGAGAAGGATGTTGCCATTTCAACTTGACTCACCCTTTTGTGGGCACTCACCCTTTGGTGAGCCACCCGAGGGTAGAATTTAGAAAAGAAGTTGCCATTTCAACTTGACTCACCCTTTTGTGGGCAGGGTAAAATTTAGAAAAGGAAGAGGTCATTCCAAGTTGACTCACCCTTTGGTGAGCCACTGGAGGGTAAAATTTAGAGAGGGAAGTGGCCATGCCAAGTTGACTCACCCTTGTGTGGGCCATGCAGGGGTAAAATTTAGAGAAGGATGTTGCCATTTCAACTTGACTCACCCTTTTGTGGGCCATGCAGGGGAAAAATTCGAGAAGGATGTTGCCCTTCCAAGTTGACTCACCCTTTGGTGAGCCACCCGAGGGTAAAATTTAGAGAAGGATGTTGCCATTTCTACTTGACTCACCCTTTGTGGGCAACGCAGGGGTAAAATTTAGAGAATGAAGTGCTCATTCCAAGTTGACTCACCCCTTGGTGAGCCACTGGAGAGTAAAAAACTAGACAAGGAAGTGGCTATTCCAAGTTGATTACCCTTTTAAGTGAGCAACGCAGGGAAAAAATTTGGAATACGCAGCAACATTCGGGAAAGGGCCTGCGTGCGCACTTGACTCCCCATGGTGGGGTGTGCGCACGCTGAGTTAACAAGTGTGTGCGCAGATGAGGCACAAGTGCCGATAAAATGTGTGTGCGCAGTTGAGTTGAATCCGTGTGCGCGGCTGCGGCGCCGCCCTTCTGTGAGCCACCCGAATGTACAGTAGTAAAGGTTAGAGGGCAGAAAGCCATTCCATTCTAGCACGCCAGTAAAATTTTGGAAGAACTGGATCTGAACCTCTGCAAGATTTTGTGGGTCTCTAGTCTCTGTCTGGATGTCGAGGCCTTTGGATCTTTGTAGATGTAGGCGTCCTGCTTCTCAACCGTGACCTCTTGAATCTCCAAAACCTGAAACACCTTATCTTTTGAATTCTTGGCAATTTCGAACCGAACACAGAGGGCAGAGGCTGACCGTTGTGGTGGATAGGTTGGTCTCGACCCAAAGGCCCTACAGGACCATCCAAGGTATTCGTGTAGGATTTAGTTTTTTTTTGATGCGTTTTTGTTTTTCTTTTGATCACTGCTTCGAGTAGTTGGACTATTGCACTTCCCTCCACTCGTTTGGGTCCGTTTATTTTTTATTGACTCATTTTTGTTTTTTTCTTGATACCCTGAATTATACTTGTTTTTTGATCCCAACACAAGTGCGCGCGAAAGCTAAAACTGTGGTCGCCCAAGCAGCGCGTAAGAATGTGCGAAAGCATGTTGTTAGTATAAATGCTTAGGATAGAGGTGTTTGGCATGGCTCAATTGGCAATTTCCCATTTGCCTTCAGGGTCAGGGTTGGCCATTTGTTTGCCATATTCGGTCAGAACCACATCCAGTTGGACGCGCCTGTGATTCAGTTTGAGCTGACACCGACCCTCTTCTCCAGGACGGCAAGCTGAGATTGCTGTATGAAGGTGCCCCCATGTCCTTCATCATGGAGCAAGCTGGCGGCAAGGCACGCCGGCCCCAGCGCGTTTATCCGCGGCCTCCGCCGCTACGACGCAGTTAGGTTGGTGAGGTGGTCTTGGAATTCGGGTGTTCTTCAACCTGGTGAAGACGTGGTCAGATTGCTGGAAGTCATAGTCGAGATGCTGTTTAGATCTGTTTAGCTTTGCATGCCTGCACGAGTGTTCTGGCCCATCCCATCAGTTCTCAGGCGCCTTTTTGCCTGTGATAAGTCATTGAATACATGTTACAGTATTTTAATGTATTTTACAACAATTTAAAATTACACAGATGACAGATGTATTATATACGATTACGATTATATATATGTATCAATGCGGCTAATATACTGTAGACTTATACACAAAAACTTGGGTCCGATCTCTTTGAGCACGGCAGATCTACCCTGGAAGAAGAATTCACAGAGGCTGGTCTCCAAGCTCACTGCTTCACTGCTTCCAGGCGATCACCGGGCACAGCCGCGTCCTGGACATCCCTCCGGTGGGTGTGCACCAGCGTGTGCCGGTGATCTTGGGATCTGCCGAGGATGTGGATGAGCAGGGTCCTGAGACAGCGCCCGAGAGTGGGTGAAGGGGAGATCAACTTCGGATGTGACCCCTTTGGATTGGATGTGACCCATTTGCGCTGGAAAGCTCAAGGGTGGTGGTTTTGGTATGCTTTGGTCCTGTTTGAACTCTAAGACAAAAACATCACATGGACATTGACATTGAATTCCTAGAGGTAGATGAGGGTGATGGGGAATGTGTTCAACATTTGACATTCGTAGCATACACGTCAACTTGTGGGTGTGAGCGCGCGCACCTGGCATGAATTCTTTGTGTTTGTGTGATATGTAACTTATATATGTGCATTTATAAATATATGCACAGTGTATAATTACACCTGTATATCTACACATACACTCCATGATCGCCGAATGACTTAACGACGCTTCACCATGATTGCATAGGAGCTCGGCACATGGGGGTTGTTGGTGAACACATGCCAGGTGCAAGAAGTTCTTCGACAGCAGCGATGATCCTGCCTTGAAGGCGGATGTTTTGTGCTGTTTCTCGTGCGGAGGATGGGGGCCCTTCTGCCTAGTCGACCGCTGATCCAAGGTTCCATGTGTTGGTGTATGTACGAGGCCTACAGGCTCTTTGCAAAGACCTATCTACACCTGGTACTCCAAAGGTGTTCGTTTTTGGGCGGTTTTCCTGAAGCAATCAAGTCTCAGACCAGACTTCTGTCACGATGCATCCCCACATTTTTCGATGCAGCGGCCACAGAGGCACGATGCGAGAAGCGGCTGCAGGGCTTGGCAGCTTAAGCGCTCGGGAGCATGGCTTCGGAAGAAAGGCAGCCGGTCAGACGGCTGGGAGACGGCTGAAGCAAAGTGAACAACATGGACGGCGTGTTTCACGGGAGGTCAACATGCACTTCCTGGAATCATGGAGGTGGCAAACCACCTACTGCAATGTAGAGGAAATGGTTGGGGGTCAGGCTTCCATTTCCATGAGGAGTCCAGGGAGACGATTGTTTTAGGTGTATGCCTTTGGTAATCGCAGCAGGTAGTGACACAAGTATTGCTTGATATACCGTTCATGACATAGCGGAAGACCAACAGTGACCAATCTTGTTAGTAATTAGGGCAGTAAGAGTTCTGTTCTGTTCCTAAATGTTTTTGTACATACGGGTGTGTGTGTACCAAGTATAGTATACAGAACTTATATATATATATATACATACACATTTATGTATATAGATATATATGCTGTATATTGTTTCAATCTGTTTGTGTGTATAGGTGAGTGCTCCGACAAGTTTGGCCGAGTTTGGCATCGAGTGCAATATTATTCATTTTCGAAGACATCAATCTTCCCCGCAGGATGCCAGAATGCTGATGCCTCACTGATGCCGGCAGTCAGAGTGACGAAGTCACAGGATTTGGGTGGTTAGGGCTTACGAAAGGCCTCGGCTTTTGCGAAGAGTGGCCGTTTTGGGGTCTCGTTGCAAGTCTTGAGCCTATGTTGAAAACTACTGTATTGCCTCATGTGCTTTGTATACTGGCCACCGTTCCGCAAGAATTGTATTAGAATCTTGATATTCTTTCTCCCAAACTGGGCTTTAGAGGTAGCTGAATGTTCCTTGTGCATGTGCTGTAGGGCTCTTTTTAGACATCCCTGGATTACGAATGATTTTTCCGCCGACCATGCCAAAAGCATCAAAAAACAGATGCAGGATCTGCGAGAATTGGGACGTTTGTCAACAATTGGAGTCATTTATTGTAAGCCTATTGCCTGAATGCTTGGAGGGAATGCTGCGTACGTAAAGGGTGTGAGCTTATGATGGTCAAATCGTGTTACCCAACATCTTGCAAAGTAGGAACGGCTATTATATACATGAACAGACACGTAGATAGATACATAATAAGACAATAAGATAGACTAGACAATAGAAAAGAAATGAAAAGAATAGAATACATAATACACCCGTTTATTTATAGACCATCCATATAGCAAAAGATAGACCTGTATCGAAACACATGGCTTTTCTCTTTCTTTCAATGGCGCCTTCCTCATGTCTTCGTCATGCGTGTTTTCATGTGTTCGTCATGTGTGTTTTCATGTGTTTATTTCGTTCATTGACTTGCTGGAGCTGCTCAGAGTCACCGAAATCATGGCCCCTTCCAGGCACGAGGGGCGATCGGATCCTCGCTCCCCTCACCGCGGTCCGACGTATGATCGGCCCTGGGAGTGGGGCCGGGGGTGTTTCAGTCGAGCGTTTTTCGGGGGACGCACCAAATGAAGCAAGTTCAGACTCTTTTTCAGACTCATACTGTTTTCTGCGTATGCAGATTGTTTTCCCCTTGTGGACAAGAATTTGGAGTGATCGATGTGTGCAATTTAGGGCCATAAGGTGAATATGGACTGCTGCTAGACGGCAATGGAAAGCTGAACAGCACCAGGTGAGATTCAGACTTTGCTTTTGGAAGCTTTGACGAACCAAGCTTGAATCTGGGGCTTCTGACTCTTTGTCAAACTGTCAAACCATTACAAGTTGCCGTCGGCACAAGTACAAACTGGATTGATGATCTGCAGAAAACTGCAACACCTTTCAGCTGTAAGAGTTTCAAGGTGGTGTTGATGGTCGCAACAAGGGCAGTGCATGATCATGATTGCACTGGTTCAGCAAGAAAGGCACTTATACAACATTGCTTTTGTAACATTTGATTGATCCAGCGGGGTTTTAATTCTCCAAACTTCACAACAATACGTTACCGGAAAACAATGTAACATATTCTTGCCCCAGTGACTGGAACCAGGACTGGTTTCTTGATCCCTGAACGCCTTTGGGCTGACTCTTGATCCAGTTCTGCCAGCTTTCGCTGTCATGCTCGGCTGGGGTGTGCTTTCTGCAGCTGCGGGTGCCACCGCAGTGCTACTCCTACAGTGGTGGAGCCGGACGGCGTGTAGACCCGGACGGCGTGGACGAAAGGGCTACACCTCCATCGATGCAGCGAGAAACCCGGAGGTGGTGGGTGGGGTCATCGCCGATGCCTACGAAGGCACGATGCTGGCAACAGTGAGGCACGACTACTGTGTCGCGATGTCCACGTCCTTGAGTGAGACTCTTCAAGAACTGGTGCAGGAGACCCAGCAACTGAAGATGCCACAGATGCTGAGCAGTCCATTGACGGTTCGCTTGCTTCAATCCTTGATCCGTGCTGGCTCGGCCACCCGTGCCTTGGAGATTGGTACCTATACTGGCTTCACGGCTGTGGGCATGGCGGAAGCCATGCCCCAAGACGGCCTGGTCTTGTGCCTGGACGACTTCTCCGATGAGGCCGCCGCCGAGGCGCTGTGCGAGCGCAGCCTGGAGCGCTGGGCGGCGCGGCGGGCGCAGCGAGGCGCCGGCGCGCGGGTGGAGCTGCGGAAGCAGCGGGCGGTGGAGGGGCTCAAGCAGTTGGCCACAGAGGGGGCAGTGGCTCGGCGGGGGGAGGGAGTCGGGGACAGTGTGCGAGCTCCCTGGTGAAGGGTGGTAATGAGTGTTAGAGAGAGCAGAAGGGCCAGAAAAATCATCGGCAGTTATATAAGCCCCGAGATGCCTCGGCATGCCTGAAATCACTGAACTGCTCTGCAACTCGAAAGCCCTGCCTTTTTGGTGCAAGACCTTTGCCATTGACCAAGCTCCTGAAGGGGATCTTGAGTCTAAACAGACTTGAGCAGGTACTTGACGATCTAATACGATCTTTCTTGACCTGATCGCACGATCTGGTCGACCGGATCGGCATGCTCCCAGCTCGTTGGTACCTGAGAAAGTCATCCTTTCGAGGCACCCTTTGACCTGTGCTTCATCGACGCTGACAAAGAGAGCCAGATTGCCTATGTTGACCTGCTCTCGGAGGGCTTGATCTCCGCTGGCGGCTGTGTGGTGGTGGACAACACTCTTTGGTACTCGAGGGTCTTGAGGCCAAGAGGTCGACATGACGCTTGCACCAAGGCTGTGGTGGACTTCAACCAGCATGTGCTGAAAGGCCCATGGCATGTG